GTAAAAACATAAATCGAAATAAGAAATGATTTCTCGAGCAGCGAGGTGAAACGTGGTAAATAAGTTTTGGTTTCGCTCCGTCCCTACGCCCCCCACAACAGACAGAAGCATCCGCCCGCGTACGCCAGACTCCATGCGGAAGGAGCATTGGTCCTCCAAGGCATCGGCCGTGGCACAAGTAATGTCCGGAGACCCTAAGGCGAAGCACATGGCCCCAACCTCATGCTTACTGGAACCATCCGTGGCGACAGCCACCGTGCTGGTTGCCATCAGCGGAAGAAGCTGTTCACAGAGCTCCTCACGGAAACCTTCGGGGTCCACGGCGGACGGCGGCACGGGCATCAACGGCACGGCTCTTGCGAAGAGGCGCTCAGCAGCACGATCCTGGGGGGGCGGGATCCCTTGCCTCAGGCTAGCCGTGTGGCTGCAGCACCACACGAGGTGCGGTCGAGACGGCTTAGTGCCGCCGCACATGCACAGGTGACGTTGGTGCCCAGGGTCAAAGTTGGCTTTGGCATTAAAGAACCAATTGGTGCAACCGGCCCCGAACGAAGCCAACACGAGGTTGCGGTCCCCACGAGCTTCCTCAAAGACCGTCCTGTGGCCAGCAAACTCATAGTGTGCATCCTTGGGCGGGACCGGGCACAGCAAACCACAAGCCGCATCAGCCTCCCTCGCCCGATACTGCCACACTCTGCCGGTGTTGAGCACATACCGCATACGGTAGGCCGCGGTGAGCCACCGAAGCACGATGCGAAACGACTCGAAGCCCACATGAACCTGGCGCGTTTCCCCTAGCGAGCCTTTGCAGCAGAGGTGGCCAGCATCAGGAGTGAGCCACCAGCGCAAGCGATCAAGGGTCTGTCGAAGGCGAGGCAGCACAGTAGGCGGCGGTGGCCGGGCATCAGACAACGGCAGCTCCTCACACCACTCGGGTGGGCGGACAACGTACCGCCACGTGGCCCTGAGCACGGCGGCATCAAGGGCAAACTGAGGCTCCAGAAACCACCCTGCAATCTCGTAAAACAAGACCCTGGCAGCTTCCTGGCCAACCTGTCGGGAGCAAAGAAACAGGGTCTCCTGCCGGACGGCCTCCAGCTCATGAGGCTCGGGCATAGCATACGGAGCAGCCCATGCATAAGCCGGAACGATCAGCTCTCGGAGAAGTTGGCGGGCGTCCCTGAGATGCAAGTCAAGGCCCCGCATCAACCGCAACCTAAGTTGAACCTTATCCAAGGAGAAGCGTAGCAGGCCCCATTGCTCCTCCAGGGGGACGGTCACGCCCAGTACCTCAAGGGTTTGCAGGTGTTTGTACTGCCGCTCCCGTGCCAGAGCAGAAGCTTCAGCATCATCGGCACGTGCCACAACCGCGCACTTGGTCAGCGACAGCTTTAACTTGAAGGCGCGATCAAAGGCATCCGAACGCAGCAGAGCATCACGAAGATGAGCATGAGGGGCCTCAGCACGGAGGAGCAGGCATCTGTCATCCACATACGCATGTCCAGTGACCGTGGCCGGTCTCGCGCTCTGGGGTCTGAGGACAAAGGCCGCCCAGCAGTGGGAAACGGCAGCCGCAATCACCGGGGAAAGCGGGCAACCTTGAGGCAACCCCCGACCAGGCCGAACCCAATCACCGCTAAGGGCGCCCTGAAGAGCAAAGATGCGGGAAGACCTGGTACAGTAATTTTCGAAGAGTCTCACAAAACACTCTGTGGCACGCAGGTGGCGAAGCAGCCGGGCAGTGAGCCCATACTCCAACGAGTCGAAGAAAGAACTCACATCCTGTTGCACAGCCATTTGGGCACCCGACTGCAGCTCGCGATGCAGCTGCTGCAGTGCAGTGTCAATGGAGGTGCCAGCGACACCACCGGAATCGAAGTGAGACCTCCAGCTGGCGGTCCATTGGGAAAGTTGTTGGTTGAGGAGCTTGGCACCACATCTCCATATAAACGGTAAGACCGATATGGGCCTCGTGCCTCCACTCGGCTTCCACAGCAGAGCCGCGCGGCCTCGTAACCACATTTCTGGGACCTTGGACTGCGCAATGACGCAGTTCCAGAGCAGGGCGGCGCAGTCCCACCATCGGGTGGGGAGTTTCAAAAGTGCCTGTGCATCCCACCCGTCCGGGCCACAAGACTTATGCTGCATACCACGGAGCGAAGTCCTAAGCATGATTGCCGTGATTTCGAAGGAGACATCAGTGGCAGGGGGTCGCGGGACCTCAGACAAGATGCGGCTGACCTGGGCACCGGGTTCGGCACCGTCACACTGCGATGCCCACTTGAGCATCCAATCCTGCGCCTGCCTGTCCACCTCGATGGCTGGGTGCCTGCCGTTGGTAGGAGCCCTGTCCTCAGCCAAGGTCCGGTCCCACTCAAGGATCTGATCAGCCTTGCTCTTAACATAGGTCCTGGCAGCGGCAAGGGAGTGGCGGGTGGTACGTTTCCACAGCCGGCGGGCTGCATCCCTCTCCTGATCCGAGTACTGCTGGGCTAAAGCAGCCACGCACTCCACAGTGTCTTGATCGGCACGATCAATGCGAGGAAGCTCGGGCACCAGACGGCGCGTGAAAGCAAGAGACTTGGCAATGCGGTTCCACAGCGACTCCAGGTGAGGCTGCGCCACGGCCGCCCTAAGACGAGAAAGCAACTTAAGGAGGGCGCGGAGACCAGCCGAGCGCTCGGGTTGTTTCCCAGTGGGAGTCTGTCTGGGCACAGCAGGCAGCCACGGAGAGCTGCGGGGAACGGCGCCAGGATCAGGATCACACAGCAGCGTTTCCCCCCAATCCGACAACAGGCGCCAGGCCTCATCAAGATCACCCTCCTGACACGCGGCCGTGAACGGGGCCTGGTCCCACCGGGCACCACGAGTTTCAAGCTCTTCCAAAGAAGCATCCTGACCCACGGGGCGTCGTCGCGGGCTCCCGTGGGCGGGAGCAGGCCGGGCTGACACTGATCACATGGTTTGATCATTCCAGTCAAAGCACAATCAAGTAGGACCGGGTGGGTCTGCTCCACGTTGAAATCCCCTAACATGACAAACTTGAAGCCTGACTGCAGAGCACCTATGACCATCACCGTGGTGGTGGTGCCGCTCGCATCCTTGAGGTCCATCACGACAGCAACGTGCCGGGTGGCGGCCTCGCCACGGCTAAGGACAACCCTACGAAAGGGGAACTTAGAAACCAAAGCAACCCTGGCCACGCCATTCTCCAAAGGGCTAAGGGCCGCGTGCATGCCACGAGCACGCCAGGCATTGCAGAAGGGGAGGCACGAGGCCGCAGTGATATCGGCTTCCGGAAGGACAGCAATGTCCACAGAGTGATCCCAGAGGAAAGCCCCAACCTGATCATGAAGGGACACCCCTCGCCGGCAGACGTTGATGGTTGCCATTTTGATTTCCACAAAAGCTTAAAAGGTTTCA